CGTGTTTTTCTTTTTTTATGAATAATTTTTAATATTTCACGTGGAAAAAAATGTAACGTAAAAATTATTCTTCTAATCTTTGAACAACTCGAAACCTATCATCAAATCGTTGTACATTCGTTCTAAAATACTTTCCACGATAAAAATAATATCAAATTACATTTCAATTAACATAATTCCAAATTCTCGTTGTTATAAAATTACGCGCGATTTCTGGTTCCATCGATTTTCAATTTTCATTTAAGAAGAGAAAAGAAAAGGGAATAAAAAAATTGGAACTTGAACGAATCGATCCAAAGTTCGACGAAACGCATGCCCACGATAACATATGGTTCCCCCTCTCCCCCCCAAAAAAAACAACTCGTAACTTTAATTCGTTTAGACAAGGGTGTGCAACCAGAGAACATTCTCAAGCCGAGAACGATCAACGGAATGGTTTTCCAGTCCGAAGAAGAAGAAGAAAACTCGCGGATACGTACCCACCCCTAACGAACGTATACTTTCGCTGACCGCGTCTTTCCTCCCCTTCTTTTCCTCTCTTTCCCTGTTTCTCGCGCTCTTCCACCCCTCTCCCTTTCTTTCTTTCTTCCATCGTCCCAAGGGGGCAAAACCAGTGCTCGAACACTCGACCCCTCGAGAGAACCCAATTGAGTTCCCGGGGCCCCGGTTCATCCGATTATCGCGCCATACAACAGCGTTCACCTTTATGAAACCTGGTGAAACGAAACCTGGTGGATGATGGAGGACCATGGGTCAAGGTGGTGGAGGGATCCCGCGAAAGGAAGGGAACGATTAATCGCGTTTTACTAGACTTCGAGCCAACCAATTTGCCCGGAAAGGTCGTTGTTTTCAGATAAGGGAGAGCGGAGGAACGAGAGGAAGCGGAACAATCGAAGAATCCGACCGTGATCCAGAGAGTATGGACAAACAATCTTATCTTATCCGTCCAAGAGATAGGACTCTCAATTTCTGCCTCTCTCTCTCTTCTTCTTCTTTCCCCATTGGTCCCTCGTGCTTCCACGTACGAATGAATTCTCTCCCTCTTCGAGGCTCGAGCGCCGAGATTTTTCGAGATCGATTCTTCTATTTCTTTTTCTTTTTTTTTTTTTTTTTGCCTCTCTCTCTCTTCTTCTTCTTTCCCCATTGGTCCCTCGTGCTTCCACGTACGAATGAATTCTCTCCCTCTTCGAGGCTCGAGCGCCGAGATTTTTCGAGATCGATTCTTCTATTTCTTTTTCTTTTTTTTTTTTTTTGCACCTGTCTGGAACAAGATCCTGTTGTGACGGTTTATCACGATGCCGATTGATAAATATTGGTTGAAGAGGAATATCGGAAGCAAACAGGTGTTCCAGGTGGTGGTAATAAAGAAGGGGAAGGGTTGTTCTCGAGCACTTTTTCTTCCATGATGCCATGGCGATTGGAAGTAAGTTTTTCTCCACTCGCTTTTTACGCTTTTACGCTGTTGATGAAATTTTCTATCTTTCTTCTTGTGTGCATGTTTTTCTTTTCTCTTCTTTAAGGGAAATTTCTTGACCGGGATTCCGTTGTCCCGTTGTCGCTTGCCGACGAATCTTTGGACGAGGATTATGTTAAAAATGTTAGGGCGTTGAATACGATGAAGGTAATTTTTCGAGTATTTTATAATCGTTGGAAAATTAATTTGTTTATTTATACCGTATAACTGATATTGAACGAAGCGAGCGAAATGAAACGGAAATTGGACAATCGACGCGAGATATTATATCGATTATATTCTGTAGAAAATTATAAATTCGCACAAAGCAAATTTCAATTTCAAGCTAGCAATTTCTGCGCAAAGAAAATTAATTTTACGCACGGGTATAGAAAGCGGAGGAGTTGAATTAGATTTAGATGAATATGGCTGATTGGATGGGCGGGTTGACGTAACGTGTAACGTGCAATTGCGAAGAAGAAACAGGGTGTGAAAAGCGGATAAACAATTACAAAGAGATTGAATAGCCAGTAGTTGTATAAATTATGATGTTTCGGATTAATTTGCATGCCATTTATATATAAATGTGCACACGCATTATATTGAAAATATAATTCCTACGATGAATCCAATATTTCTAGAGACCCTTGATTAACTTCTTATTCAAAAAATGCAGCGATGTTAATTATCTTTTAAAAAAAAATTTCTATCTCACAACGGATCTGCTTGAAATAACGATAAACTTGGAAACTTATTACTTCCTTTCTCTCAATTGTTATGCTAAAAAAAAAAAAAAAAAAAAAACTTGGAAACTTTTTTCTTCCTTTCTCTCAATTTTTATGGTAAAAAAAAAAAAAAAAAAAAAAACTATCTTGTTTGTCGTTTCGACGAGCACGCTAATGAATATAATCCCGCCTCGAGATTAATCGAAAATTCTGTTACATCTATATATGCACGATATCTAGCATAGAGCGTCTTACGTCAACATCATATTGCAATCAGTGTTAGGACTGTTGAATTTATGGTCGACTAAATCCACAAATTACTACTATGCAAGTAGTTGGTCTAAATGCAACTCGCAACCGTAAACATAGATACTGGTATTTACACCATACTGGGTCATGGTAGAGCGATTCGGCGGGTCCAACGTTAATATTCGGACAACGCTAAACCGATTTTCTTGCGACAAATAATAATCAAACTTAACTTAATGAAAACAAAGGGTACAACGCGAGGTGTTATATCATTTTTATCATCAATCTAATTCTCTGAGAAAATTTAGAAAATTGATAGTATTCGAAGACGATCGATCAATTCGATTTTTGAACGAAGCAAACGATTGTTTCAAAGAATATTATTAGAATATAATCGATTAATGAAATGATTTCTCGAATAATTTTCTATTCTTTTTATGATTTATTTTATTCGAATGAATTTCACTCGAAGATTGAAAATAAAAGTATTGTTGTATCGTAACGATACAACAGACAATACAGAAATATCTGTCGTTTGTCGAACGCGTAATGTATTCGAGAGGGACGGTAATGCATTCTCGTTAGTCGAGCATAATTTAAACTGAATAATGGGTGATTGACGTCCGGACGAGGAAACACTCTCAGCCATCCATCCCTACATCTGATTCCAGTGTACAAACCTAATCACGATTCGGAGGACAGACGATAGTAGAGTGAAAGGATTAAGTAAATCGAATACTGAATTGCACGTTACAAAACTTAATAACGATTTCAAAAGTGTTCTTCCCTCTCTAATCTTGTCTCAGAAATATTATTCAAACATCGAAATTGTTATAAATATTGTTAAATTAAAAAATTTAATTTTCCCTTGCTTGTTGAATTTTTAAAAAAGAAAGTATAGATATATAATATACTAAATAAACAATTAAACGAGCAAATTTTTTAAACTCTCATTCTTCGTAAAATATAATTGAATCTCGATACGAATATTTTAACGGAGATTTAGATTCAAAGTTAATTCATGAAGAAACGAAACAATGCATATTACGATCGACGAAATCTCGAGCGAAATACCACAACACGCGTAACGAAAATGCACAAATGCAAAAAGAAAAAGACAAAGTTCGTTAAAGCTCCTTATGTTTATCCACTGGCGTAAATCCGCGTTTTGTTCCACCGAATATTCCCGACCAGACAAATCGTTGCTAAATTCTATCCCCCAAGGGGATAGCTTGGCCGGGCGCCAAGATACGGTACCCGAGACGCCATCTACTAAACTTATTTAATTATTTTTCTATCAACCGTTCCCTCTTGGGGATATGAACCAGGTGAAAGAAATCGAGCCGAGTTGTTTAATTATTCCCGTGCTCGATTCTTTCGCGCGAATATAATCCGATCTATCGAAAAATCGAACAATCAAAAATAAGTTGCGAGTAAATCAGAAGAGATTTGATTTCTTTCTAAAAAAGTCTAAGAAATCCTAAATGGTTTAAAATCAAATATTCGGCTTATAAACTAACACGTGATGAAACTCAATGAAACAATGTTCCTCCATTTTCTCGAAGAACACATTTTTTCAGAGACTAAATATCGCAGATTAAATATTACCTCTTAACCGACGAGCGAACGAAATTAAAATAAAATTACAAAAATTAAAACAACGCTTCTCTACATCGTTCGAATACCATTTACATTTTAAAACGCCGATCAAAATAAACCTAATTAATAAATTATCCCTCGTTTCTTATTAAAATCGTGCAAATGTAGACTCGAGCAACGCGCGATACCTGTGCGAAACCGGGCCAGAGGGGCAAGGATTTAGTAATTTATTTTCTAGGATGGGGATTAAACGGGCTCGATTCGAATTCCGCACCGATTCCTGCTAGAATTCCGAACGGTGGAATCGAAGGATACAACGCCGACCCTCGAGTCTCGTCGTAGAGAGCGGTAAAGGTTTCGGGACCCGGAAACGGTGAATTAATTCGCGACGAACGACAAGCCCAGTCGCCATTCCCCTTTAACCCCCTTGCTCTCGGCGAATAAACATCAACGGCAGAAGTTGACCGGGTTCGGTCGTCGTAGTCGTCGTCCTCCTCTTCGTGGTACTGGATGTCGGTTTCCGGATCCCGGGGCGCATATCCGGAATTCATCCAAACCTTGGCCGCGTGTCCGCGTGTTTGGCACAGGTTTCCAAATCTCGTTTCTCTGCGCCCTTCTCTTCCTCCCCTCCCTCCTTTGCATCTGCATCGGACGTCGCGGTGAGGGAGGGGGAGGGGGTTTGATTTCGATGTATAAACCCAACTGTGTCGATCGCAATCCGCGAATTGGCGCGATACGAATTGATATCCAATTCGGGGGCCTCGGCGAAATTAGCGGGCTAACTGCTTTTGCGCCCGGGCAACGCTCGCCCGATTGCGCCCCAATTTCGAGTTTACACCCGAGAACTGTTTGATGATTGACTTCGAGCGGAATTTGGGAGAGGGAGTGTATTTCCATGCGTTTTGCATCCGTTTCCCTCTTTTTTTTTTTGTTCTCGAAGAAGAAGAAGTAGAAGAAGAGAGGGCTTTTTCTCTGTATTTCTGGATGGAGTTTTTGGCGAGGATGGGGTAATTCTGATCATCCTAGAATGAAATTGAAATGACGATTGAAATTTGTTTGTAAGAGAGAGAAAGAAAGAGAAAGAAAGAGGAAAAAGGGAAATCGAAGCGTTGTTTCGTTTTAAACAAAAAAAATTGTGAATAGAGATATTAAAATTAGGAAATATAGAAGATGAATCTCTAAAAAGCGATATAAGTCGAAATAACTCAAAGAATTATTTGTTGTATGAAAAAAATGTTTCGTATGAAAGTTATTAATTTTTTTGCAAATGGACATGAATGAAACTTAAATTTGTTTTTTTTTTAATGAAAATTATTCGTTTTTTGGTTTTTTTGAAACATTTTCTCGTAAAACAAATTATAAATTATTTGAAATAATTGCGAAACAATTGCATCTAAAAGAATTTAAAAATAAATATTATTGATTTAAAAAATTAAAAAAGAAATCGTACAAAGCAATGAGTAAAAAGAGATTAATAATCATGTAGTAAGGAACATCTTTTATAATTTTACGCATAACTTTTTTAAACGCAACAAGAATTTCATAAGTGACACAGAAATATAACAAAAAAAGAAAATTCGCGTTTAACATAGAATAAATAAAAGAGAATGTAATAACAATTCTTCTCTAAAAAAAAAAGAGACACGTACTCGGAAAAATATACTGCACTGTAGCACTGTACTCGTAATTTTATTTGAAATTCATAAACCACGCCTCTATTCATTTTCCTTTGAGAATCACAAAACTATTTCTTATGAAATATGAAACTCTTGGTGGCGTGTAAGGGAATTTAATAAAAAATGATTCCAATATCGATAGCACGTGACAAGTTGAATTTCTCATCCGCGGCTCCCTCTGTGCATGCAATTTCAAATTCTCCTTCTCGATCGTTCTCACGGAATTTATTTAAGATCTGATGAGAAACCAATCGAATCGAAACGGTTTGTAAGAGATATATCCGTCCCGGAAATATCCGCCGCTTTTCCATCTATACAAAAGCTTAACAGCTGAAAATCGGGGATAACGACACGTGCATAGGATACGTTCATTTTACCGTTTCAACAGAACAAAAGACCCTCCATCTTTTATCGAGAAATTGTTTAAATGCTGTACAGCATCGATATATCTCTATTGAGATATATCGATATTTCACTTCGATAGATTATCATGGATGAAGACGATGATTATCAATTATTAATCCATTGTTCGTTTTATTCTATGATGACTCGTTAAAAATCGATCATTTCGAACGATACACGAACGTATCTCTTATAAAAAAGAATGGTTAAAATTATTTATACAAAGTTGAATACATTAATTTGATCGCAAAATTAATATCCTCTTTCCATTCTTCAATTAACATATCTGTACATCCATTATTTCTTCATTTCATTGAGTGCTTATTTTTGTATGGATAAAAAATTTCCTATTCCTAAAACAGTTAATTTTTCCCCTTTGTCGAATAGTTGATTCCTAAATGCGAAGCAATTCAATGAAACGAAGGCAGTCGATATCGAGTAAAATTCTCAAATCGAATCGAACCTGATTCCACTACGTACGTACGAACAAGATGAACAAACGAGACAGTGAAGGCAAACGACACCCCGTTCACTTACCGATTGGCACGTTGACAGCAAAGAGAACGACAAGGGCGCGATGGCAGAGCATTGTGCACTGCATGGAAAACGCGATGAATCGTCGTCGGTCGTTGGAACCAGCAGCTGCTCCTTTTATCTACTTAACCCTGTCATCTTTCGCGAGAACATCTGTTTCCAGTCTTCTGACGCATAGCATGCCTGAAACAAACGAGTGTACCATGCTTAAAATACGTGTGTTTGATCGCTTCGTTCCTCCTATCCTTTCTTCCTCCCCCTTTGCACAGAATAAAATAATAATAATAATCGATCACTTTGGAATAACTCTATAAATTACTCTATAAATTTTCGAAGACAAGAAAGAAGCGAATAAAAGAAAAATCAATCGTATCATAAATGATCTCGATAATTTTGTATTAGAGTCAAAAGAAGAAGAAACAAGTGTGTATTTTTGCTAAGAATAAAACATTTATATTTGAAAAATGGAGCTGAAAATTTCTGATAGTGGTTCACATATAAAAAAAAAATTATCACTCTTATCCATATCTACACAGAATTTTCTAAGAATCTTTTTATATTTCTAAGAATATAAAAAGATAGTAAAAATAATCAAAATTATCGAGCCAGCATTCTTTTATGTGCTTCTACCGGTTCCTGTTGACGAATCGAATTGGCAGAAACGGTGCTCGAACGCGTCTCTGTTTTGGACGAACGGACAGAAGGACGCCTCATCATCGGTCGGACGCTTTATCGGCCGTTTCCACGTTGGCGAACTTTCGACTCGTGCACCCTTGCATCGCAAAACTGACTACCCTAACCACTGCCACCGTCGTTATCTGGCCCCAAGCTGCCGTTTCTCCTAGGTGACGTTCGATCCTGTTCCGCGGAAACTTGACTAACAGGCCTCGGTCAAAGGTGAACTACGGCCGACGTTCCAGGGACGTGAGGAAGCTTTCGTGATGGGCTTTGTTTGCGGACCAAACGAGGTGTAATTGTTCCAGGGGATTTTGTTCGCTTGAATCTTGAGTGGGGACTTGGATGGACAAACACATATAGGTTTGTTACGGAGATTCGATTCACGAAATTAAGTTTTCAAACATTGGAGCATTGTTGTTTGTTCGTAAGTTTCAATTGGAGAACGGAACAGAACAGGTATTTAATTCATCGATCGATCTTCTCGAATAACTGCGCCTTTATGATCGACCACATGACTTTTCGACTTTTCGATCTACATTCTTCCCGAAACGTATCACTTGTCAGCAATTTGAGAAATAGATCAGTGCGAGCGAGAGATCCGAGTAAACGAAAAGAGCACAAATAGTATACGATTAAAAAATATTTCTTTCTTTACACGACGATATTTCAAGAATCGAAAATCGTATCCAGATAAATGGAAAAGTTTTGAAGAGCAAGTTCCCGCGCTTTTAACGATCTTTCATTCATTGATTCGATCGAGTTTTAAGGCACGTTGTGCTTTAAAAAATAGATATATTTATTTCTGGAAAAATATATCTATAATTCTAAAATATTATCGTCTAAAATATTACCACGATTTAATTCATCTAATTCTAATTGCAAAGTTAAAAATGAACGAGAATAAATCTTCTACATTGTGTTACATTAATAGATAAGAACAAATCTAGCCAATATTCTTTCGCTACGAAATCACTACGTCTGTCAAAATTTCGTTTCAATTTCGTTCCCAACGATAATACTGTATCAAATTCTGTTCACCCAAAAACTCTCTATTCTTCTCAAATCGCGAAACCGCTACGAACGGTAAGCGGAGGAAAAAAAAAAAAAAGAAAAAAAAGCAAACGATAACACCTATTGAAAAGAACAAAATCTATGAAAAATACACGCGCCAGACAACTCGATTCTTCGTTTGCATCGATAACGTTCTATCTCCGGCGAGCACGTGTCGCGTTTATTCGACGAAACGAAAATCTGTAACATATGGGTATTATTCAAATTGTTGTTCGACATAGGAATTTCCCCATCCGGATAACGCGAAATTGTTAATTTTCCATATTCCACGGGACACGCGTTGACGACATACAGTTACGTTCCACAATGTGCACACCATTGAACAGATTCACGCGGCCTCCCCAATTCGACCAGCACCGTGTAACAGAGATATGATTTCATCCTCCTACAAAAAATATATATTTGTAATTCTAATCTGCGGTTTAAACGGTTGATGCCGCAACTTACCACTTTTTTCATTCCAAATTAAATTATTAAGAAAAGTTTTATTCAACGATTCTTCTATCTTTTCCAAATTTTTGTCTAGCAATTACGCTATAACTTCTTTTTCCAAATTCAGGAATGATATATACATATCTCATTTCGAATATAAATACAGAGGAATCGATCTAAAACAATTAATTGTTTTTTTATCGTGTCGAATTTGAATATATTTAAAATTTATAAATAAAAGGGATGATTAGGAGGAAGATCATCCTCGTTTCGTACGATATACGATTGAAAATAATAGTCTGTGTATTATACATATTTCGTTGTCACACGAGCGTGACGATAAATGGTTAATTATCGTTGACGATGGTTTGCTTTAAAACGGCATAAACAATATATATATAACGAGTGTATGCTCGGATGATTTTATCGATTCAAGCGACATTGATTTCAAAAGTGATCATCGAAATTATATCTGAACTCGTGGTTCACTGTGTTGCTTACTCGATTTTCGATGATTCGACGATAAATATCAGAGATATGATACGATTTTTCGATTTTCATCAATATAATAAAGAGAAAATATAATAAAGAGAAAAGGAATATAGACGTTAAAAAATTTTTCTTCGCTCAAATATTGTAAATACCGATCATATATTTATGGTAATAATTAAACACAAAACACGTGTTGTTTGCGTTTAAAAAGGCAAATTTTATAAATCAAAAACCAAGATATAATTACAATTTCAATAATTGCCTAATTCTCATCTTTCATTTAAATGTAACGTGGATTTGACAAATATAACCTGCTATATATTATCATCGAAAATGAGCCGTAACATTATCCGTAACATTATGTCACCACAATTTGACACTAGTTGACACACGTGAGTAATGATATATTGGATTTTAATAGCGACACAATCGTCCAAATTAATTTCTCGTCCAATCTTTTCTATGAAAAGAAAAAGAAAAAAAAAACGATAAGACACGTTTAAATCTACTGGAAAAATTTAATCCATTAATACAAACCTTAAAAATTTCAAGAACATTATAACCTCCTTAATCTCGTATAACGAACTTGTATCGTATAAACCGAGTTATCTTATACGCAATTATCGTCATGATGAATTGAAGTCGAAGAAAAGGTGAAAGAATCGCGATGGAGGATCTTGAAACGATTTAAATAAGTCTAAGATATTTAGAGGCAGAAAATTTGCGAAGCAATGAGTATTACGATGAGAAAAATATGGTTAAACGTAAATTCTAAAGCGTAACGTATGTATGCTGGAAGGTAACTGACGGTGCTTGTGCCTGTGGAATTATTTAAATTGTAACCGTACGCTCTGACTACAGATAAATTATGTAGCGAAATGTGTCGCGTGCCGGGGAATATAACACCTCGAGCTAAGTCCTGTTTACAAATATTATTATTCGAGAAACGAAGATGAAGAAGGCTATATCTAATAAGTTACACGTAATTATTATGTTTATTGTTTTTTTAACGAATGATAAGATATTGGAATACATTTTGAAACAAGAGACGGTAATATTGTTTGTCGATAGAAATTGTTACGATATAATTTGATAAATTAATAATAATCGTTTATTTAATAGCATAGACAAGGATTTAATATAATAGAATTAATTTTATTTAATTTTTTAAGAATATATAGATAAATTTTTTCTATAAGTCTTGTTATATAAATATCAATCAACATTAATATTAATCTTTCCTTGCAAAATGATATAAATTTTTATAAAAATTTGCTGCAGATAAATATTAAAAGTTGAAACTTTTTTTTATGATGGAAAAAATTTAAAAATTCTTTTTTCTTCTCTGCAAATATTAATTAATATGCACGTGTTAAATTAAAATAAAATAGATGACAGAAAAGATTTCTATTTTTCTTTTTCTTTTTTTTTAATTAAATTCGAAATAAATAAATCCAAAGAATTTAAATGATTACACGTGATGCAAAATTTTTCCTTGTTATTTTCATTTACTTTCATTTATATGTGAATACCAAGGATGGTAATCCCTGAATAACGATATGTCTCCAATGTACAAGCTATCATGAGACAAGTACCGTTATTTGTCGGAAGATGACTACGTTTCGTGTTACAAAGTGAAATGGAACCCGTTTGAACTGTGAACCACCTTCAAAGAAAAAGAAATCACAGTAACTTTATCCAACTATCGTATTCGATCGCCACTTTAAACATCGAATTCTTTTATGATAAAAGGGCGAAATTACGAGTGCACTTTAACACTTGCCCACTCGAATTTTTTAACATCGTTCAATTTACAAGGGAATCTTCAAATTTTTTAACAATCATATCAAAACATTCTACGATTTCTGTATACACAAAATAAAATTGTACCATTGTAAATCACCACGTAATGATTTAAAGTGAATTGCAAAATAATAACTCAATTTAATTCTTAAACGTATATCTAAAAAAAAAAAAAAAAAAAAAAAAAAAAACCAATTTAATTTTTAAAACGAATTTAAAAAAAAAAAAAAACCAATTTAATTTTTAAAACGAATTTAAAAAAAAAAAAAAACCAATTTAATTTTTAAAACGAATTTAAAAAAAAAAAAAAAAAAAAAATAATAAAAATTTCGATTATTAAATTCAACTGTTCAAAGACTCGATATTCCAATATTGATCGAAACTCAAGTTCAATAACAAAATTAATCCAAAAATAACAAAAATTCCAATGTTACAACAACCAATTCTTCTCAAAACAAAAAAACAAAAAACGAAAAAAAAAAAAAATTGCTCGCGTTAAAAATGAAATTCAATTTCCACAATGGCTCAAAGGAAAATCGCAGAGGGGGTTTTTCCGTGGCGGTAAAAATTTTCTCGGCAATATTTGCGAAACCACCTATATTCCTATACGTTCGTCTCCGCACCATGACGACGAGGCGACGTAAAATGCGAAACACGGAGCACGAAATGCTGCAGTTCGTTACCAACAAAGTAAAGCCGATCTATAC